CGGCGCCCTCCCCGGCGGCGCCCGGGGCCCGGGTCCACGCCGAGGGCGGCACAAACTTGCCCAGGTAGGAGCCGCGCCGGCCGCTGTCCCCGCGCTCAGCCTGGCCCGCGAATGGACCTCCGGCCCGCAGGTTGAGTGCGCCGATCAGCGTCTTTTTTTCAGCTTAGGAAAAAAGGGAAGCGCGATCGAGCCGCGGCGGCCGGGGTGGTGGGGGTTTCGGGGAGGTGGGGAGGCGGGGAGCGGAGCCCACGACAAGGGCAGGAGAAGAAAGCGACGGCACTTGAGCGGAGCCCCAAACTCCGCTGTGCGCTCCGGGTTGTCATTCTTTGCTTCTCCGACCCCTTCCCGGCGTCTCGCAGCCGCGGAAGCCTGGCCGTGCGGGAGTTCGTGCGGAGTTGCAAAGTGTCCTCCGCCTCCGGGTGCGGCCGGCCCGCTCCCGCCGCCCACCTTCCTCCCTGTGCACTCATTTGGCGACGCAGCCGCCCCTGCTGCCTGCCCCGCGCTCCCGCGTCTCCTGCGCGCTGAGGTCTCCTCTTTCTTTCGGTGTGTGTGGGGGGATGGGGGTGGGGGAGAATAAGGTCGTGGGAAAGGGGGCCTGCAGACCAGCCAGGGGGTCAGAAATCGCACCGACCTCCGAATCGCCCCTGCGGAAACGTCTGCCTGTGCAGCTGAAATGAAATTGTCACCAGTAGTTTCGGAGCGTGCTCCAGCGAGGACGATCTTTTTGTTCATTTTTTTTTTTCCCCTTTAAAGTAACATCCTGTCACTTGGGGCTTTCTCGTCGTCTCCTCTCATCCGACCTCTTTGCAAAATTGCTAACCCGATCTGGCCCTGGAGTTTATTTTTTAACGTGCGTGTGTGTGTTGCTGAAATCCGCCAAAAAGCAGCTGGGTGAGCTGGGAGATGTATTTATCGATTGTGACCCGGGGCGGCGGGAGCGGATTAGCGGGGAAGGGGGGGCCCTGGAGGTGGGAAGTGGCGGGTTCGCGGCGGCCGGACGCGCGTCCCGAGCCCGCTGCGTGCTCGTGTCTTCTCGGGGGCGCCGCGGCGGCGGGGACGGTGCTCAGACACCGGGCGGGTTTCAACATGGCGGGCCAAGGTGGCTTTTACAAACTGAAAATAAAGGTTTTGAGGTGGGAAAAAACCCAACCAGAGTTTCCGCCGCTGAGTTTCGAGTCTCTTTGGCTACCCCGGGAAACGCTTTAGCGAATTAAGTGGGCAAAAAGGGAGGGAATGGGCCGCCCCAGTTTTTTCCGTGGTTAGAGTCTGCGCGTCAAGTCCATTGCTGGAGGGGCAGGGGGCGGAGGGGCGCCGCCGGCCGGACCAGGGCGGCCGAGCGCGACCGCCGTGCGCGCCCCTGGGTGGGTGTGCAGGCCTGGCTGTGCCGTTGCGGGAGGGGGCGTCAGAAGAGATCGGCCCCGAATGTGTGTGTGCGTCTTGGAACCCAGACCGTGCGTTGATTTGACGTGACAAACTGCTGACACGTGGTGCAAATGCGGGAGGGCAGGGGGAGTGATTTGTTCCGGCTTTCAGGAGACGAGCTCGCGCTCCCCTTGTGTGTGCTGGACCCCGTGCGGGTGAAGCCCGGAGTGGGTGGAGCGCGGTGGTGCTTGCTAAAAGGACTAACTGTCCAGGGTGTCGGGTGCAGTCGGCTGCAGACGCCAGTGGGGTTTGTGCGTGCAGGGGGCGCGCTGCACTTAGCGGTGGGCTCCTGCGTCCCCTCGCGCCGCGCCGGGGTGGGAGTTGCGGAGCCGGGGCGCGGGAGGACGAAAGTGGAGGGGCAGAAGGGCGGGGTCGCACGGATCTCGGTGGCGCTTAGGGTGGAGACGAGGAGTTGCCCCCGCCACTTTTGGGTTTCGCGCTCTGGGGAAGGTGGGGGATGGGGAAAACGTTCTGGGAAGAAATTGTCCCCTTGCTCCGGTTGGGCACCGACCCCCGGGGCTGCATCGGAGAGGGGCGTCCTCTGCGTGGAGGGCGCGTGGGCAGGGCTGTCGCCTTGGGGTGTAGGGGGTGGCGAAGTGCCTCGGAAAGGCCGGCATCGTGGGCCCAGGAGGATCTGGGAGTGGAGACGAAATCGGAGCCAGTTAGAGGAGCCCGAGGGAAAGCAAGCGAATCCGAGCTCAGAGGAGAGCCACCGGAATGCGGGAACCTAGCTCCGCCGGGAACAGGGGCCCCGACAGGGGTCGCCCGTGGCCGGGACGCGGCCGCCGAGCGGGGAGACCCCAGGAAGCGGGGGCCACGCGGCAGCCGCGCGCGGTCCCCGGGGCTGGCGAGGGCAGGCCCGGGGGACGTCCTCGGGACTCGCAAGCCTGTTCGCGCAGCGGCCAAGTCCCCGGAGACGTTTTTAAATAATAGGGTTTAAAAAGATAGTGTTGGCCCGGTCCGTAGTTCGCGCGGCAACGTGGTCTCCAGCATTTGCTGGAGGGGGGCTGGACAGGGTCACTTAGGCCAACGCCGCGCTGTCGGAGGGGCCGCCCCTTCGCGGGTGTGCCGTGGGTGGGAGGGGGGCTGGAGACCCCGTGGCAGGTTTTCCTTCCCTCCGGGGCAGCCAGGCTGCGTGATGGGGGGCGCTCCGGCCACCGTGCGTCTCGCCCCCCACCCCACCGCGGGCCGAGCGCGCGGCGCGTCCCCGGTCCTTCCAGCCCGCGCTTCGGCGCGTCCTCCTGGGGACAGCTCTCCCGTGGGCTCGGCCGAGGTGGAGACCAGCCTAAAATGGCTCTGTGCTGGTAAAATGCGGTTTCAGCTGCGAACCCCTCCCCTCGTCCTCCTGACGTCGCCGCTGACAAGCGCACAATCCACTCCAACGCCCCGAGACCCCCGATTTTGTGCTGGGCTGTGCCGTGGAAGCGAATATACGGTGGATACAAAGGACAATCCACGGGATCCTCGTTCTCGCGGGGTCCAAGTTTTCCTTTCTTGCAGGGAGGAGGGAGGAACCGAGACCGGGCAGCAGCCGGGCCAACCACCGCCCCGGCACCAGGGGGTCGGGGCGCAGCCGCGCCAGGGGGCCTGGGGCCTTTACGCGTGAAAAGCCGAGCGGGATCTGGGGGTCGCAGATGGTGGCCGTACCGAGCGACGGGCACTGACACCGGTACTCGTCCTCGGTGGCGTTTGTCGTGTCCGGGAGTTCTGAGACCACGCCGGGGAGCCTGAGAGACCGTTTCCAAACTTCTGGAGACCAGCTCGCGGTTTCGCTTTCGGAATTTTCAGCATCCGTGGGGTTTCCAGAGTTGTGTGGGACTCCGAGAAGGCCAGGCGACGCTCGTTCTCCCGCGGTGCGGCGGCCGGACTTGTCGCCCGCCCCGGCGTCCCCGGACCTCGCCGCGCCGCGCGGGGTTTGGGGCTCCCCGGCCGCGCGCCGCGTCCTTGCGGGCTCCCGCGGCGCAGCCGTTGCCGATCCTGAGCCGACTGGTGGGAAACCACTTTTGACGAGGGCCGACCCCTCTCAGATCCGGATCCATCGCCGCTGCCCACCACCGTCCCTCACCCTTCCGTCCTTGCAGCGTGGCCAAGGGACCTGGGGGACCGAATGACGTGTCTACACCGAGGGAATGGATCCGGGTTCCACCAGGTCGGACAAAAAGCGAAAACAGGCTTCAATTGGGCCTCGGCGGCCTGGTTTCCTGCGGAGGCAGAGCGCGCGGGTAAAGGGGGTGGGGGAAGGGAGGCCTCGGTGATCGGAAGGGATTGTTGGCTGGGCTCGCTTTGGAGATAGATCTGCTACTTTTCCCCTACTAAGCATTAAATGTGCACGCACTCTGCCCTCTCCCTTTCGCAAATAAATACTGTCTCAGATCTTTATCTCAGCTCTTGCTGGGACCAAGCCGCCTGCCTGTCAGGGGGCAGGAGACACCCACGCACCCCTACCCCCACTCCCACCCCTCCAGGCCTCACCAAAGTTCATACCGTGTGCAGGACCCATTCCTGGGCCAGTATTAAAAAAACACTCCCCAGGCGCAGGAGGTCTCTCTGCAGCCCCCGTCCTGGAGAAGAGAGTGACCCACCCCCCTGTTTGAGGTGCGTTGCTCTAGAAGTGCCAGCTGAGACCTGCTGAGATGGGAACTGAGTATTTCCCATTTCCCATTAAAACTCCCACCCTGAACCTCCAACAGGCCGTCTGGCTGGGGGATGATGCATTTTGCTAACGGTGGGAGAGTTTTTCCTCTTCATTTGTTCCTGCAGACATCATGGGCTAATTTTTTTTTTTAACCTTGCTAGGCATAAATAACCATCTTGGTGATTCTTATTTTAAAAAAAGCCAGAGTAGGTTCCTGCGTCCTCCCTGTTTTCTTTTTATAATAAGGCTTTCCTGGGAGTCCTCAACATTTGCCAAATCCCATTTCTGCCTGCTCTAGCTGAGATGACAGTTTTTCACTAGCGCCCCCAAAAGACTCCCAAATTTGGGGAGTGATGGGAACGTGGCTCTGAGCAGTAAGTACGTGAGATTCCATTTAATCGATACAGGATGCTCTTGGGCTCTAAGTTCATGCACGAGAAATTCAAACTCTCCAGGGCCTACACTTAAGACTAAAAGTTGGTGGGTTTTTTTTGGTGAGGATATCAGAGTAAAAGAGGTTTTTTTGTTTGTTTGTTTTTGTTTTTTCAAATAATATGAACACATTTACTGTGGAATTTAAATTACTTTTAGTTCTAATGTACTAGGTTTGGGCAGCATTTCTCTTTGTGTTTCACTGTTTGGAACTTGTGGAGTTCATGTAACAGTGTATAGCAGTCATAAGGAGTTTTTACCCTGCTCTAAAATAAGAACTCATAAAAGTTTTTGTAGCATCATGACATTGGGATCTGTAATTCAGGACACATTTTGTGGTTTTTCTAACCATTCTTACATCCACATTGCTTCGGCGACAGCTTATTGTACCTATTCAATAACAACAACAACAAATTTGGGGAAATTACACTTGTCACAACAAACCACAAAGTCAACGCATGCATTCAGTTTGGTGGTCGGCATCTGTCAACCCTCACTTGTGAGGAACATTCCAGATGGAGAGGGAGGAATCAGGAAGCTGGGCTTCTGGTTTCAGAGATAGTCTGTGTAGCTGT